GTCTTCTTCCTTGCTGAGCGGCCTTTCAGATTATGTCGATATAGGACTTGTTTTACTGTGGATATAGATACTTTCGTACCTGCTTCCTCCAGCATCTTCACAAGGTCCTTTACTGTTGTTCTGGGATTGATTAGCACTTTTCGCACCAAAGTACGTTCATCTCTACGTTCATACCTGAGCGGTATGATGGCTGTGTGGTCCCATGGTGTTTATACTTGCATACTATTGTTTTTACAGATGAACGTGGTACCTTAAGGCGGTTGGGGAATTGCTCCCAAGGATGAACCAGACTTGTGGAGGTCTACAAAAAACTTTTCTGAGGTCTTGGCTGATTTCTTTTGATTTTCTCATGATGTCAAGCAAAGAGGTACTGAGTTTGAAGGTAAGCCTTGAAATACATCCACAGGTACACCTCCAATTGACTCAAATGATGTTAATTAGCCTATCAGAAGCTTCTAAACCCATGCCATCATTTTCTGGAATTTTCCAAGCTGTTTAAAGGCACAGTCAACTTAGTGTATGTAGAATTCTGACCCACTGGAATTGTGATACAGTTAATTATAAGTGAAATAATCTGTCTGTAAAGAATTGTTGGAAAAATTACTTGTGTCATGCAAAAAGTAGATGTCCTAACCGACTCGCCAAAAATATAGTTTGTTAACAAGACATTTGTGGAGTGGTTGAAAAACTATTTATAATGAGTCCAACCTAAGTGTATGTAAACTTCCGACTTCAACTGTATATATTTGCGAGAAAAAAACCACATTGGCGATTGGAAGTGATGCAGTCAATTACATTGATGGAAGTTACAATAATAATAATAATAATAATATGCCATTTAGCAGACGCTTTTATCCAAAGCGACTTACAGTCATGTGTGCATACATTTCTTTTACGTATGGGTGGTCACGGGGATCGAACCCACTAGCCTGGCGTTACAACCGCCGTGCTCTACCAATTGAGCTACAGAGGACCACAATCTAGCTGCAATATTAAAGTTGATCTACCCCCCCCCCCCCCCCCCAAAAAAAAAAAAATATACAAAAAAAAAAAACACTTTACTTGACAACCAGTGTCATAACAGGTTATTACACATTCATAACAGCTGACATAACTTGTCATAACCTGTCATAATATGGTCAGAACACTGTCATGACCCATATATTTACACCTGTTGTGACATATATTGCGTTATTTTATGTCTGGTTATGCCACCTACGTAAGAGTGTCAAAAACCCACATTTATTCAAATTAGCTTTTTCCCTGCCAAAAAGTTTCTTAAATACTTTGTTGTTGTAATGAATACACTTTATGACACTGTCATGAAGCATTATGACCATCCTGTGTCACTTTACTTGGACTAAGAAAATACACTTTATGACACTGTCAAGAAGCATTATGACCATCATAATCATATAAGCCAGATATGTCAGTCATTAGTCAAAAAGAGGGTGTCTTGTCCTGCTCCTGAAATCTGCTGCTGCATTCATTCCAGTCATCAGCAACAGAGCAATTGGGTAGGTCCATGTCCGGCATCAATGTGTGCGCAATTACAATGATAATTGAATATGGTCAACAACAAAAAAATTATATATAACATAAACATACTGTTGCCACATAGGCTATGGTGTAATGGAAGGTATTGACTTGTGTGGTAGTTTTTGTGGGTTTTGACACTCTTATGTAGGTATCATAACCATCCATAAAAGTATGCAATATATGTCACAACAGGTCTAAATATGTGTGTCATGTCATGACCATATTATAACAGGTTATGACAAGTTATGTCAGCTGTTACGACATATTATGACATGGTCTTGATCGTGTCATAACCTGTTATGACGATGTGTGTCAAGTAAAGTGTTACCCATATTTTATTATCTATGTTCTAAAGCTGTATATGCTTTGCAGTAGTTTCATAACATTTTTTTCATCTAGAGCAATCAAGTTGGCAACAGCATCCGCATGGAGAAGTAAGGATGGTCAGAAGTCTGCGTTCACCGGAGGGGAAAATGTGAAAATAGGCACCATTGTCACCGACAGACCCTTCGATCCATAAATACCTGCGAGAGGAATGCCCAACCATCACTCATTACTATGACTCTTGGCAAATAGAAAAATGTGTGTACATGGAATGGAATTATAATTTGAATGTGAACGTCATCTTCATCATCAAGTAACAATATCCTGCGAACATGTGATATTAGGTCGGCCATTGTTACTTAAATGTTAATGGGTTATTTTTTGATACTTATGTGAGAGGCTAATCTCACAGAGAATAATAGAGGCCTCTAGTGGCCAAAAGGCCATATTAGCATGGGCAGCGCCATTGAGGGCGGGACTTCCAACTTAATTGACTGATCCCTCCTGGTGACCCTGTTGGAGTCATGTCCAACCGCGTCATCAGGAGGGATCATCCAATCGTGAAGAAGAAAATTGACTACTTCAAAATGGAGATGTCACAGACGCTACAATGGAACAGATACAAAGATGAGTCATCTATCTATCTCTATGGCTAATCTGTATAGTTTTTATAACAAAGTAGTCCTAATGACAGCCATTTTGAGATTTCTCCCTTATCATAAAGTTGTTTGATATGTCCTTGTGACACACTGTAATGCCTGCTCTGTCTGTGCCCATATACACTGAGTGTACAAAATATTAAGAACATCTTCCTAATATTGAGTTTCACACCCCCATTTTGCCCTCAGAACAGCCTCAAAATGTTGGGACATAGACTCTACAAGGTGTCAAAATCATTCCACACGGATGCTGGCCCATGTTTACTCCAATGCTTCCCACAGTTGTGTCATGTTGGCTGGATGTCCTTTGGATGGTGGACCATTCTTGATACACATGGGAAACTGTTGCGCGTGAAAAACCCTGCAGTGTTGCAGTTCTTGACACACTCAAATATTTTGTCTTGCCCATTCATCCTCTGAATAGCACACATACACAATCCATGTCTCAAGGCTTAAAAGGTGTTCTCCCCTTCATTTACACTAATTGAAGTGACATCAATAAGGGATTATAGCTTTTACCTGGATTCACCTGGTCAGTCTGTCATGGAAAGAGCAGGTGTTGTTAATGTTTTGTACACTCAGTGTATTTTGTTTGTCCACAGGTCTCACAAAGAAGATTGATGTGCTCACAAAACTTTGAGACTGTGATGGAGTAAAGGAGAAGTGTCATCAACCAACTCTATTGGGCTTCATCAACCTCACAGTCTAGCGAGGAAACTATGGCAAGGTGGACATCAGCTGCAAATCACATAGAAAACATCCACAGCCTTGACAATGCCCTCTAACCAAACTGTCTCCACGGAGCCCTTGAGGGACTCAAATGTCTAAAACCAAGTACACCATATATACAAAAGGATGTGGACACCCCTTCAAATTAGTGGATTCAGCTATTTCAGCCACACCCGTTGCTGACAGGTGTATAAAATCGAGCACACAGCCATGCAATCTTCATAGACAAACATTAACAGTAGAATGGCCCATACTGAAGAGCTCAGTGACTTTCAACGTGGCACCGCCATATGATGCCACCTTTCCAACAAGTCAGTTCGTAAAAGTTCTGCCCTGCTAGAGCTGCCCCTGTCAACTGTAAGTGCTGTTATTGTGAAGTGGAAACGTCTAGGAGCAACAACGGCTCAGCCGCGAAGTGGGAGGCCACCCAAGCTCACAGAACGGGACCGCCGAGTGCTGAAGCGTGTAGTGCGTAAAAATCGTCTGTCCTCGGTTGCAACACTCACTACCGAGTTCCAAACTGCCTCTGGAAGCAACATCGGGCACAAGAACTGTTCGTCAGGAGCTTCATGAAATGGGTTTCCAAAGCCGAGCAGCCGCACACAAACCTAAAATCACCAAGCGCAATGCCAAGCGTCGGCTGGAGTGGTGTAAAGCTCGCCGCCATTGGACTCTGGAGCAGTGGAAACACGTTCTCTAGAGTGATAAATCACCATTCACCATCTGGCAGTCCGATGGACGAATCTTGGTTTGGCGGATGCCAGGAGAACGCTACCTGCCCCTATGCATAGTGCCAACTGTAAAGTTTGGTGGAGGAGGAATAATGGTCTGGGCCTGTTTTTCATGGTTCGGGCTTGGCCCCTTAGTTCCAGTGAAGAGAAATCTTAACACTACAGCATACAATGAAATTCTAGACGGTTCTGTGCTTCCAACTTTGTGGCAACAGTTTGGGAAGGCCCTTTCCTGTTTCAGCATGACAATGCTCCCGTGCACAAAGCAAGGTCCATACAGAAATTGTTTGTCGAGATTGGTGTGGAAGAACTTGACTGGCCTGCACAGAACCCTGACCTCAACCCCATGGAACACCTTTGGGATGAATTGGAACGCCGACTGCGAGCCAGGCATAATCTCCCAATGTCAGTGCCCGACCTCACTAAAGCTCTTGTGGCTGAATGGAACTCCCCGCAACAATGTTCCAACATCTAGTTGAAAGCTTTCCCAGAAGAGAGGAGGCTGTTATAGATGGAATGAGATGTTCAACAAGCAGGTGTCCGCATACCTTTGGTCATGTAGTCCCAAGTATGCCTGTTCATCAAGCTGTTTGTTTTCTATAGTGGAATTTCAACATTACAAATCTCAATTTTGCTCAACTGGCACCAAGGCTGGGAAAAAACTGTCTGACATCATAATGAACAAGCCTCCTGAAAGATGTGAAGAAGATGAGCCCTGAATACCAGACCTCTGCAATTGAGTGCTTCCACAGCCTGATTTAGAATTTTGAACACAATATTTTGATTTACTCCTTCCCTGGCATGCTGTGCAGATAACCACTCTAGCTTCATAAACACACCAGTTATACACATAAACCTTGGAATCTATAACCCACACAATGTGATGCATATTTTCCCCATTGTCACAGCTCTCTACATTTGTAAACTGCTGCATGCTGCAATGCATTGAAATGAGAACGACAACCAGCCACAAGCAACAACTGCTGCAGGGGATCTGAGATATGAGAAATGTTTCCCAATGTTCAAGAAGGAGGACTATTCTGCCTCTGGTAAGAAAGTGGCTCCCACATTTGGAAATTGTACTTCATTCTGCCACAAATACTTTTTAAAAAAGAATACCGTAACAAAAATATATAGTACTTGTTTGAAACATTTTATTGGCTTGTATGTATAAGTTACAATGTAAAATATATTTTTTCTAAAAGCTATACAAAATGTGTGCATTAATCAAATGTATTCTTTCTTTCAAAAGGCTACATTGACACATTGCAGAGACTCCTGTTTGAGGAGGTGGTCCAAAACCCCAGACACTTCCAGGCTCTGCTGGCACAGGTGGAGGTGCCGGACAATCTCTGCTCCAGCTACGCCAGGCCAGAGAAAAGTGTTGTGGTGGTAAGACACAGGTCCAGGTTCAGCGGCGGTGAGGGGCAATGAAGCCAGTGTAGTTTCCTGTCACATCAGGGAACACTGCACAGATCCTGAGGACCATGCAGGATGGCATGACGACACTAATCCGCATTCCGAAATACTGCCAACACCAGCCAACAAAACTGCGATATGCAGTATGTCTGTAACGTCTGTAAATAGAGAAAACATGAAGCAATTACTTTTTCGTATTGTTGTGCTTGCTGCTGTCATTACATTTTCTGAAACATGCTGCCTGACTCTGTACTCACTCATTTATTTTAGTCTGCTGCTCCACTGTCTGTCCATGTACTAGGCATGCTGCAGCACCCATCACGCCAAACAGACTTCGATAAATCCAGGGTCATGCATTGGACAGGGTCTTGTAACTCGGGGTCCTCTCATTTCTCCATGACCTGTATAACAATAAATGTTTTGCATTAGTGTATTAGGCCTAAATAAGGATGACTATGGGACATGTATAGCTTGGTAACCCATAGGCAACACATAACACATGGTCACTGGAACTAATCAGTCCTAGTCAAGATACTGAAACCTACCTGAGGCACATTTCTACATCAGATGTTTTCCTCAGCTGTTGGCATGTTTTAGCAGTGGCCACCACAAGAACACCTATGGGTAAAACATTTTTATTAGCAAGTAGCAGATCACTGCCGCTAATGAAGTAATCTCCATTCATTCTAAACAGTGGCTTCGAAATACACTGGCATGGATAGAATAAGCAAATAGCTAGCTAGCTAAGAAGCACATACAATGAGGGAAAAAAAGTATTTGATCCCCTGCTGATTTTGTACGTTTGCCCACTGACAAAGACATGATCAGTCTATAATTTTAATGGTAGGTTTATTTGAACAGCGAGAGACAGAATAACAACAAAAAAATCAAGAAAAACGCATGTCAAAAATGTTATAAATTGATTTGCATTTTAATGAGGGAAATAAGTATTTGACTCCCCTCTATATCAGAAAGATTTCTGGCTCCCAGGTGTCTTTTATACAGGTAACGAGCTGAGATTAGGAGCACACTCTTAAAGGGAGTGCTCCTAATCTCAGCTTGTTACCTGTATAAAGGACACCTGTCCACAGAAGCAATCAATCAATCAGATTCCAAACCCTCCACCATGGCCAAGACCAAAGAGCTCTTCATGGATGTCAGGGACAAGATTGTAGACCTACAAAAGGCTGGAATGGGCTACAAGACCATCGCCAAGCAGCTTGGTGAGAAAGGTGACAACAGTTGGTGCGATTATTCGCAAATGGAAGAAAACACAAAATAACTGTCAATCTCCCTCGGCCTGGGGCTTCATGCAAGATCTCACCTCGTGGAGTTGCAATGATCATGAGAACGGTGAGGAATCAGCCCAGAACTACACGGGATGATCTTGTCAATGATCTCAAGGCAGCTGGGACCATAGTCACCAAGAAAACAATTGGTAACACACTACGCCATGAAGGACTGAAATCCTGCAGCGCCCGCAAGGTCCCCATGCTCAAGAAAGCACATATACAGGCCAGTCTGAAGTTTGCCAATGAACATCTGAATGATTCAGAGGAGAACTGAGTGAAAATGTTGTGGTCAGATGAGACCAAAATCGAGCTCTTTGGCATCAACTCAACTCGCCGTGTTTGGAGGAGGAGGAATGCTGCCTATGACCCCAAGAACACCATCCCCACTGTCAAACATGGAGGTGGAAACATTATGCTTTGGGGGTGTTTTTCTGCTAAGGGGACAGGACAACTTCACCGCATCAAAGGGACGATGGACGGGGCCATGTACTGTCAAATCCTGGGTGAGAACCTCCTTCCCTCAGCCAGGGCATTGAAAATGGGTTGTGGATGGGTATTCCAGCATGACAATGACCCAAAACACACGGCCAAGGCAACAAAGGAGTGGCTCAAGAAGAAGCACATTAAAGTCCTGGAGTGGCCTAGCCAGTCTCCAGACCTTAATCCCATAGAAAATCTGTGGAGGGAGCTGAAGGTTCAATTTGCCAAAAGTCAGCCTCGAAACCTTAATGACTTGGAGAAGATCTGCAAAGAGGAGTGGAACAAAATCCCTCCTGAGATGTGTGAAAACCTGGTGGCCAACTACAAGAAACGTCTGACCTCTGTGATTGCCAACAAGGGTTTTGCCACCAAGTACTAAGTCATGTTTTGCAGAGGGGTCAAATACTTATTTCCCTCATTAAAATGCATATCAATTTATAACATTTTTGACATTGCTTTTTTCTGGATTTTGTTGTTGTTATTCTGTCTCTCACTGTTCAAATAAACCTACCATTAAAATTATAGACTGATCATGTCTTTGTCAGTGGGCAAACGTACAAAATCAGCAGGGGATCAAATACTTATTTCCCTCACTGTATCTAACCACTATCATAATCGCCAGATTTAGACTGATGGCTATGTTGCCATTATCTAGCAACTATCACCATAAGTTCTATAAACTCAGAACCAGTGAATAAACAAATTGTTAACGCTCCGGTTTATGTTTACAGCTAACATTTATATACAGGCTTTGACAGAACTTTCAGTGTCGTGCCAGCTAGAGATACATATAGCGAGCTAATATTAGGTCGCTATAACGAAGTTAGCTAGGCTACATAACGTTACATAGCGTTCAAACACTTCACGGGGCAGGGATGGTTGAACTTAGTTTTCCGAACTGAAATCTTCTTTGTCGCTAGAAGCCAATGGCTCAAACATATATGGTTGGATCTGTTGGAATTCGCTCTCCAGATTTTCCAAGGGAAGCGAATCTCCCTCGAGGATGTCATCAGACACAAAGCTACTCTCGCTGTCAGAGACCACTGTGTAGCCCCTTGTTCCAAGGCTGATATGTGTTTGTTGTTGACAAAACTAGTATAAGCACAGATAGAACAATGAGCCAGATATTTCACAGGCTGTATAAATGTGAAGCATCCGGTTGGCGTTCCACTCTACCAAATATGGTGATGAGAGGAAGCCCAGTGGCCGGCAGTGGGAGAAGATGGAGCCAGATAGATTTTGTCCGGAATTCTGCTCATTTTCTCATCGATTAAACATGTGATCTCATTTTTCTGTTTCCAAAACTGTAATCTGTAAGAAACGGAGTGGACTGTGTTTTGTAGACTTTACCCTTTGCTAAAGTAAAACAAAAAATGTTGTTTAGAAGGAATGCAAGGGCAAATTGAGATATTGCACATGTGCACTTCACATAGTAGGCGTTCCCTAACGGAAATATGCAAATAAATGTAGAAAGTTATGCCCACTATGATTAATTTGCTCCAATTGGAAACGACAGGCTGTGCTCTATCTTGGGTTAGTTATAAAAATCTTTGGTATAAGCCAGGACACCTACATGCCCACCTGTGCAACATAATACCTGCCCTTCGACCTTATGCCTGCCGACATGTGATGGTGCAAGTAAATTACGTGATAAACAAGGTGAAAATGAGGCTTGAGGCTGTCTATGTTGTTATCTGACTAGTTATAAAATCTGTTGATGTCTAAAGGGATCTGTAAGATACGGCCATTCGTTGTTGTATTTGCTTTGCGAAGGTGTTTTATGATTCTCCCTGTGTGGAGGGTGGCTTTACTAAATCACATGATTTATTGACCCTGCGATGACACCCCCCTCCACTGCCACCATTCTTATTTTTTCTCTTCCTTCTCTCTCTCTCCATTTATCTCTCTCCATCCCTCTCTCGCTGGGTGGCAGGCACCTTAATCCAGTGAGACAGACCTGCTGATGCATGAGGACAGGAGGGAGGGAGGGATGTAGGAGTTAGAGAGAAACAGAGAGAGAGAGAGAAAGAGAGGGTGTAGGTGTAGGTGTAGGAAAAAGAGAGAAAACTGAGAGAAAGAGAGAGAGAGGAGGGTAAGGTAGAGTGATGTCAGAGGATGTAGACATGGGCAGCCAGTCAGCTTCTATTACCTATGTTATGCTGTTGTGTTCCCTGGGCAATGGCCCTTGGCCTCCCAGCATACACCTGTAGTACGACTGATAGGGGCTGAGGAGCACTCACACGCACACCCTCTCCCTTGCTCCGTGGGAAGTGCAGCAGTCAGACTGTTGCAGCAGACAACACTTTCCTGCCAGGGTCACTTATTTTTTTATTTTTTTACAGAAATATAACATTTACATAAGTATTCAGACCATTTAGTACTTTGTTGAAGCACCTTTGGAAGCGATTACAGCCTCAAGTCTTCTTGGCTATGACGCTACAAGCTTGGCACACCTGTATTTGGGGAGTTTCTCCCATTCTTCTCTGCAGATCCTCTCAAGCTCTGTCAGGTTGGATTGGGAGCGTTGCTGCACAGCTATTTTCAGGTCTCTCCAGAGATGTTCGATCATGTTCAAGTCCGGGCTCTGGCTGGGCCACTCAAGGACATTCAGAGACTTGTCCCGAAGCCACTCCTGCGTTGTCTTGGCTGTGTGCTTAGTGTCGTTGACCTGTTGGAAGGTGAACCTTCGCCCCAGCCTGAGGTCCTGAGTGCTCTGGAGCAGGTTTTCACCTCCCTGACCAAGACCCTTCTCCCCCGATTGCTCAGTTTGGCCGGGCGGCCAGCTCTAGGAAGAGTCTTGGTGGTTCCAAACTTATTCCGTTAAATTTTTTGGTACCCTTCCCCAGATCTGTGCCTCGACACAATCCTGCCTCTGAGCTCTACGGACAATTCCTTCCACCTCATGGCATGGTTTTTGTTCTGACATGCACTGTCAACTGTGGGACCTTATATAGACAGGTGTGTGCCTTTCCAAAACATGTCCAAGCAATTGAATTTACCACCGGTGGACTCCAATCAAGTTGTAGAAACATCTCAAGGATGATCAATGGAAACAGGATGCACCTGAGCTCAATTTCGAATCTCATAGCAAAATGTCTGAATACTTACGTAAATAAGGTATTTCAGATTTTTATTTAAAATAAATGTGCAAAAAAATAATAATAACTTTTTTTGCTTTGTAATTATGGGGTATTGTGTGTAGATTGCTGAGGATTTTTTATTTAATCCATTTTAGAATAAGGCTGTAACGTAACAAAATGTGGGAAAAGTCAAGGTGTCTGAATACTTTCCGAAGGCACTGTATGTGGCTTTCTTTGTTTCTATTGTGTTTGGGAGTTTGGATATATTTTGAAAAAAGGTCTCTCGAGGGAATAGCGGCCGTTTTATTGGCTCCTGACCAATTACCTCGTACCCCTGCACATCAACTCGGTACTGGTATCCCGTGTAAAAAGCCAAGTTACCATTACTTATTGTGTATTTATTCCTCGTTTCTATTATTTAAATTTTTTCTCACTGCATTGTTGGGAAGGGCCCGTAAGTAAGCATTTCACTGTTAGTCTACACCTGTTGTTTATAAAGCATGTGACAAATAAGATTATATTTGATTTGGAATATTATTTTATTTTATTTTAGTGTATGCATGTTTTTGTAAGATACCCCCCCCCCCCCCCCCCCCCCCTTCTCAACCCCTAATGAATGTGAAAAATTGGCAACATCTAACTAATGGTGCTGATCTGTCCCATCATTTGGAATTGAGGAACTGAGTCTTGGGTCTACACACCGAATTGTGTGAGACATGGACTCATTTTGACATTAGATCACTGTTGAGGTTTAAAAAATCATTATTATTTATGATACTGGGCTTTGTTATTTTCTAAGACACTTATTTGTTGTTCTAAAATGTGAGGAATCAGTTGTTGTGAATCGTAATGGTTTTTCATTTTTTTACCCGGTTACTACTTTGCTTAATTGTCATTGGTCAGATCTTGTTAATTAGTTGAGTTGCGAAAGGACATAGTTGAGTTGGTGCTTGGCTGCAAATGTGGCCAGTTCATCATTAAATCTGCAGAACAGTAATCTGTCTCCGTCTAGTGTTTCTACATAGAGTCATCCATCCATCTTTTGAAGAACCCCTCAAACTACAGAGCTATGACTTTATGCCAGTCTCTGTGCCTGTCTCTCCCTGTGTTCCAGAACACTCCAGTGGGCACCTCAGTGTACCAGGTGAATGCCACAGACCCAGACCAAGGCACAGGGGGAAGTGTGCTCTTCTCCTTCCAGCCCCCCTCTCCCTTTTTCTCCATCGATGGAGCCCGTGGTACGGTCACTGTCACCAGGGCTCTGGACTACGAGTCCACCTCAGCCTACCAGCTCACTGTCAATGCCACGGTGAGGGGACACACAAAATACACATAAACTTACACAAACAGTTTTTATAAAGTAACAAGCATTATTTTATAAAGTAACAAGGCAGGATTGTGTTCAGTAGGGCAGTAGCATAATGTTTTTTTTTAATGAAAAGGAGCAAGTCCAGGTAATCCCTCCCTGTTTCAGTCTGTTTTCTTCCTAATGTACATGACCGTGGTGTGACCATGCTTGTGTGTGTCTGTTATCTCCATCAGGACCAGGATAAGAAGCGGCCTCTATCCAGTCTGTCTAACTTGGCCATCACCATCACTGATGTCCAGGACATGGACCCCATCTTCACCAACCTGCCCTACAGCACCAACATAGAGGAGGACGCCCCACCGGTCAGTAATCTTCCTCCTCTTATCCTTCCTTTCTCTACTTCTTCATCTCCTCCCCCACATTTTCTTCTCCCCTTACATGCCCTACTGCACCAACACAGAGGACTCCTACTTGCCGGTCAGTAACACGCTGTCTCATCAGTTTATACATACTATATACATTTTACGGACACAGTATATTCTACATTACTTATCTTTTGTTTGTTTTAATCCCATCCTTCAGCTACCCTCAACCCCTCCCATCTATCTCTGAACACCATCCAGTTTTGATTTCTATTTTCTATATATTTTTCAGCTGGGATGTGATGTTTCACAAAAGCTCAGAAACGATCTATTCTCATAGTTTCTACAGATTGTAAATTAAAGATAATTTTTTTTGCTAAGAGTATTATTATATTATTGATCGATTGACTATGAGTTTTCAGATCACCCAGCAGTTAGCTCCAGGTAAATGTTGCAATTCTTCAGCCATTCCTTAACCTGCGACTAAAAACAAGCTACATATGGACAGTATCAAAACAAATGATCTAACGATTGTCTCTGAGTGTTGAATCCGGCGTTGTCTTGTGTATCAGTTCATAAACCATGTGCCATGAAATAGGTACATTGAAAATCTCTTCCCAAATATTTTGCAATCTGTATGGCACAGCTGTACATATTTTGGTCCTTAAATGAAACTGGTATACTTTTTTATTTATCACAATTTTCTTTAACCAATGTTGGTCTTTAATGCAGGGCCGACAGACAAGTTCCTTACTTTCTCCCCCTTCCACTTGGCTCTTCCATTTTTTTGCGGTAATGCTGCAATTAGTTGGTTGTAATTTTGGATATAGCAGACATTTCCATTTATTTTTGTTAGCTGCATGTGTGACATAACTCAACCAGTCCTATTTATGATATAATTTACAAAGATTATACTGTTTTAAAAATGTTTTATCCCAAAATAATGAGTATATTTGATAATAATTAGTATAAATAATTAGTATAATTAGTATATATAAATAAATATATTTGAGTTTAACCATAATATTTGTTGTAATATTTGTTCTGTCTTTTCCGGTGGATTAAACTGAAATTACAACCAACTTTCTATTGCTTGTTTTAAAAATAGCAATATTTTGGAGATTATTTCACTTTCAAATAACCAAAAGTGAGAGGTTGTAATCTGAATAAAGGGAAAAAGGCCATTCTTGAACACGGGGTGAGCCATTCTTGTTAATCTGCTAGAGAACGAGTTTGGATTTAAGTATAGCTTTTGTATGACTGAAGCCTTTAGTGAGAGGTCTAATCCTTTAATTTGTAATCATTTCTGCCCTCCAAATTCATATTCATTTTATAAATAGGCCCGTTTAATTTTGTCTGGCTTGCCATTCCAAATAAAATGGAATATTTTCTGCTCATATAATTTAAAAAACAAGTTGTTAGGTGTAGGCAGGGCCATAAGCAATTAAGTAAACTGGGATATGACTAAAGAGTTAATCAGGGTGATTTTTCCACAAATAGACAGGTATTTTCCTTTCCACTGTAGCAAGATCTTATCTATTTTTGCTAACTTTTTATTAAAATGTATTGTAGTGACAACATTTCTTTCTTTCATGATATGAATACAGAGTATGTCCACTTTACCGTCACACCATTTTATTGGTAAACTACACGGTAATGTAAAAGTTGTATTTTTTAGTGATCCAATACGTAATATAGTACACTTATCATAATTTGGTTGTAATCATTATTTACATAAGTATTCAGACCCTTTGCTATGAGACTCAAAATTGAGCTCAGGTGCATCCTGATTCAATTGATCATCCTTGAGATGTTTCTATAACTTGATTGGTGTCCACCTGTGGTAAATTCAAATTATTTGACATGATTTGGAAAGGCACACAGTCTATATAAGGTCCCACAGTTGACAGTGCATATCAGAGCAACAACCAAGCCATGAGGTCGAAGGACTTGTCTGTAGAGCTCCGAGACAGGACTGTGTTGAGGGACAGATCTGGGGAAGGGTACCAAAAAATGTATGCAGCATTGAAGGTCCCCAAGAACACAGTGGCCTCCATCATTCTTAAATGGAAGAAGTCTGGAACCCAAGACGCTTCCTAGAGCTGGCTGCCCGGCCAAACTGAGCAATTGGGGGAGAAGTGGCTTGGTCAGGGAGGTGACCAAGAAGCCGATGGTCACTCTGACAGAGCTCAGAGTTCCTCTGTGGAGATGGAAGAACCTTCCAGAAGGACAACCATCTCTGCAGCACTCCACCAATCAGGCCTTTATGGTAGAGTGACCAGACCAAAGCCACTCCTCAGTAAAAGGCACATGACAGCCCACTTGGAGTTTGCCAAAAGGCACCTTAAGACTCTCAGACAATGATAAACAAGATGCTCTGGTCTGATGAAACCAAGATTGAACTTTTTGACCTGAATGCCAAGCTTCACGTCTGGAGGAAACCCGGCACCATCCCTAACGTGAAGCATGGTGCTGGCAGCATCATGCTGTGGTGATGTTTTTCAGCAGCAGGGACTGGAAGATTAGTCAGGATCGAGGGAAAGATGAACGGAGCAAAGTACAGAGAGAATCTTGATGAAACCTACTCCAGAGCGCTCAGGACCTCCGACTGGGGTGAAGGTTCACCTTCCAACAGGACAACGACCCTAAGCACACAGCCAAGACAACGCAGGAGTGGCTTCAGGACAAGTCTCTGAATGTCCTTGAATGGACCAGCCAAACCCTAACTTGAACCCGATTGAACATCTCTGGAGAGACCTGAAAATATCTGTGCAGCAACACTCCCAATCCAACCTGACAGAGCTTGAGAGGATCTTCAGAGAAGAATGGGAGAAACTTCCCAAATACAGGTGTGCCAAGCTTGTAGTGTCATACCCAAGAAGACTTGAGGCTGTAATAGCTGCCAATGGTGCTTCAACATAGTACTGAGTACAGGGTCTGAATACTTATGTAAATGTGAAATTTTTTATATATATTTTTTATGTCATTATGGGGTATTTTGTGTAGATTGATGAGGGGGAAAAACAATGTAATCCATTTTAGAATAAGGCTGTAACGTAACAAAATGTGGAAAAAGTAAAGGGGTCTGTATACTTTCCGAATGCACTGTAAATTCCAGTTGTACCTTATCAAAAGCCTTTTCAAAGTCAGCTATAAATTTCATAATGTTCGATTGTTTCCAGTACTTGTCTAAAATGAACTCCAATGTATCGTCCATGTAAAAAACCTGTCTGATAAGGATGTATAATATTCTACAAAACCATTTTAATTCTTTGCGCTATGCATTTTGCTAGAATTGTTGCATCACAACACTGAAGTGTAAGGGGCCTCAAATTTTTTCATGGACTATATCTTTATATTTACCACCTGGGTCCTGTTTCAGTAATAGTGAAATCAAACCTTCTTGTTGAGTATATGATAATCTACCATTTTTATAGGAGTGGGTAAAACATGCTAATAATGGTCTTCTGAGTACATCAAAAAAGGTTTGATATACCTCAACTGGTATGCCATCCAGCCCTAGAGTTTTCCCAGACTTAAAGGCTTTAATTGCATCAAGAAGTTCCTCCTCTGTAATTTGGCCTTCACATGAGTCTTTCTGTACAGCTGATTATTTTACATTATTATAATTTATTTATGTTATTTTGTGTAATTTTTACCCCCTTTTTCGTGATTACGATCTTGTCTCATCGCTGCAACTCCCCAACTGGCTCGGGAGAGGCAAAGGTCGAGTCTTCCGTCCTCCGAAACATGACCCACCAAAACGCGCTTCTTAACACCCGTTTGGTTAACCCAGAAGCCAGCTGCACCAATGTGTCGGAGGAAACACCGTTCAACTGACGACAGCCTGTAGGCGCTCGCCACAAGGAGTCGCTAGAGTGCGATGAGCCAAGTAAAGACAAACCCTCTCCTATCCTGGACGACGCCGAGCCAATTGTGCGCCGCCCAATGGGAATCCCGGTCACGGCCGGTAATGACACAGCCTGGGATCGAACCCCAGACTGTAGTGACGCCGCAACACTGTGATGCAGTGCCTTAGACGGCTGTGCCACTCGGGAGGCTAATTTTACATTATTAATAGAAAAAAAAAAATGTGTGTGTGTGTATATGTCTCTCTGTGTTTCTGGAGATGGAGGAAACTGAAACAAAAACACATGCTTAAAGTACTTTGCTTCCTCTTTCAAATAGTGTTTGGTGAATCATGGTATGTATGTATGGTTTCCCCCATATTCCATCCAATTCGCTTAATTTCTTATAATATATTACACTTGATCTTTCTTGAATACGTTCCTCCAGTTTATTTTGTTTTTCTGTCCTCTATGGTACAGTTTTTATTGCTACCGATCTGTTAGTCCCTCTATTTCCTTTGTTAATAATATTATGAACTCTTTTGACCTAAATTGTTTTGTTTTAAAGATGATTTTTGAATTGCATGGCCTCTAAAGGCACATTTAAAAGTGTCCCCTTTACTTTACTTTACTTTACCGCCTCTCCTTTCCCTCTCTCCTGGCCAGACTGGCTAAACTCAGTCAATTTGGGAAATCTCTCTCTCCGCTCTCTCTCCTCTCTCCATGCATCTCTCTCGTCTCTCTCTCCGCTTCCTCTCTCTCTCTCTCTCTCTCTCTCCTCGTCTCTCTCTCTCGTCTCTCTCTCTCTCTCTCTCTCTTCTCTCTCTCTCCTCTCTCTCTCTCTTCTCCATCTCTCTCTCTCTCTCGCTCTCGGTCTCTCGTCTCTCTCTCTCTCTCCTCCCCCCCTCCCAGGTCCCCACAGATGCATTTGTTAAGGGGCGAACACAATTACAGCGTTAGATTTACATTGTGCTTCCTCCATTGTGAGGCCTCTATCAAAGGTCATCCAGGCCAGGATTTATCTCTGAGACCCACAGGAGATCCGAGACACAAATATACTCACCGTGTCACCACCCCATCTGCCCAGACTGCTGGGCTAGAAAGGGAGGGGCAGTGTGTGTGTCCCCTCTCTCATTTCTATCTCTGTCCCCTCTCTTACAGTACCCCCTCTCACTCCCTTCCTCTGTGTGTGTGTGTGTGTGTGTGTGTGTGTGTGTCTGTGTCTGTGTGTATCCATATTGACTGTGCTCATGCTGCTTAGAGTTTTACTAAATGGGGTCTGTGTTCTAGCTCATGTTAATGGTTGTTCACTAATACATGACGTTTCTCACTCCCTCTCGCTGTCCCCTCTATCACACCCTCTCTTACTCCCTCCCTCTGTCCCCTTTCTAATTGCACTACCCAGTCCCTCTCTCTTACCCTCTTACTCGAACCATCACCCTCTCTCTCTGTCCCCTCCTTCACTCCATTCCTCCCTCTGTCCCCTTTTCTAACTGCTCTCCCCTGTTCCTCTCTCTTCTCCATCTCCCTCTCTGTCCTCTCTCTCTGTCCTTCTCCTCCTACGTTCCCTCACCTCCTCTCTCTGTCCCCCTCTTCTGCTCTCCGTCCCGTCTCTCACTCCCTCTCTCATTCCCTCCCTCATTCCCTCTCCTCCCTTACTCTCTCCCTCCCTCTCTCTGTCCCCCCGCTAACTGAACTATCCTGTCCCTCTCTCTTACCCTCTCTTACTCCACCACTCTCTGTCCCCTTCCCTCACTCCTTATATTTTACTCCCCCCTCTCTTGCCCTTCTTCCCATCTCCCTCACTCCCTCTCTCTGTCCCCTTTCCAACTGCCCTACCCCATCCCTCTCACTATCCCCCTCTCCCCCCTCTCTCCCTCTCTCTGCCCATTCACTCCCTCTTTCTCTATCCCCCTCTCCTACTCCCTCGCTCTGTACGATCTCTGTCCCTCTCTTTGTCCCCTCCCCACACCACACGACTACATCCCTCTCCTAGTACCCTCTATGCGGTGCGGTAGTGAAATGTCAAGTGCTACATTTGCATGCATATCAACGGGGTGTGACAGTGGCGACGCCTGGTGTCTCCCAGACTCACCGATTCATCAGCTGTCACAGCGAAGGTCAGGGGGAGAGAAAGAGAGTGGGAGGAAGAGGTAGAGGGAAGAGACGAGGGAGAGAGAGAGGAGGGAGAAAGGGAGAAAGGAGGTGGGGGAAAGAGGAGATAGGGAGAAGGGAAGAAGAGAGGGAGGGGGAGAAAGGGAGAAAGAGGGGGAGGGAGAGAAAGGAAGAGAGAGTGGGAGAGAGAGAAGGGAAGGGAGAAGGGGGGGGCAGAGGGAAAGTGGGGCTCACAGAGTTTCTTGTCTTCATGGAGAGCTACTGGATGGGTTTGGCTTTTGCTCAAGCCCTACACTAACACACCTGATTCAGCTAATGTAGGTCCTGAGTAGCTGATTAGTAGCTGATTAGTAGAATCAGGCATGTTAGAATAGAATTGGAACTAAATCCTGCACACCCAGTAGCTCTCTCACACACACACACACACACACGCACACGCACACGCACACGCACACGCACGCACACACACACACACACAGCCATCCAACCATCCACCCACCCACCCTTGCCCCTCTGTGGCCTGATAGTGATGTGATGAACTGGATAACAAAAGCACTTAGCTACAGTGCTGCTGAAATACAGACAGACATCCACTATGCTGTACACACACTATTCTTACACACAGTCCTGCACTAACATCATATTCTAACTGGTATCTGTCATTTTCAGTTTGCTAGTTGTTATTTCTGGTGGGTTTCATAACACTGTCTTTTTAACAATTCAATAATGATGAGACGGGTGACAGTAATCAGTTCAACAAATTATCTAGAACGTGCTCATCTCAACACATAGAACCCCCATGATGCTCTGTGGCACAACCCGAGTACATCACATCTCCTCCCTTCCTACTTTATTTATCCCCATTATGAACAACAGTCCTGAGAAGATGACCATGAGCCCCTAGGTGATGACTGCTGGGCCAGGGTGTCACCCAGTAACAGTTTCGGACCACTCAAATAAAATAAAATAAAAGTCACAACTGTTGATTCTGTCAGTGTTGGTTTACTCAACAGTAACTTATCTGTGCGCTGTCTCCAGATGACGTCCTCTGCAGTAACAACATAGTAGTTACATGGGTGTTACTATGTAATTACATGGTATTAAGGTTGTAGCGCTATCAGTTATTACACAGTTGGAACAAGGAATGTGTAATTACACATCCACTTGTTGAACGCTATTTCACATGTGTAATTACTGATGTTATTACACATTTTCTTGTTCCACTATGTAAGTAATGTTTTGTAATTACACATTTGAAAGTCACCTTTGAATTACCATGTTAATAACTCAAACCAAAATCTGACCTTGTGTATGATGTCCATATTAGGACGCTCTCAGTCTCAGCAATAATTGCATCATTGTCAGTAGGACTTAAGTCATTCTCAGTAAGAGTTGAGTCGTTGTCAGTAGGAGTTGAGTCAATCTCAGTAATAGTTTAGTCAAGTTGCATTAGGAGTTGAGTCAGTGTCAGTAGGATTTAAGTCGATCTCAGTAAGAGTTAAATCATTGTCAGAAGGAGTTAAGTCAAAATCAAATCAGATTTTATTTGTCACATGCGCTGAATACAACTACAACGGGTGTAGACGTGTGGAGGGATGTAGACAGCCATGAAGTCTACCATGAAATGCTTGTTCAAAAAAGTATTATAAAAATAGAAATAAATAGACAGAGGTGCTAGCAAACATTAGCTAGCTAGCTACTTAGCTACCTGAGCAGCGTGCTAAATCATCCAGCATAACTTCTGCATTCAAAAGTGAAACAAATTGCATAGAGAATTTACCCTCTCTCCTCTGTCAACATTGGTATCTTGTGAACAACGTTTATTTTGCGCAATCTCTTCTGTCTGGCCTTTGCACTTTTCTCATAGCCACGTCCATCATGATTCTTCACGACACACTGTCACATGATGTCAGTGTCAACACAACATTCTGGGGACGTCCCAGGTCATCTTTATTTCAATAGTGTTTCACAGATGGGCAGATCTCACAATATTTCAGAAGCCAGCGAACCACACCAATAATATGGCTTGAGATCTTGAGATGAAGCCTTCATTCCTGGAATAAATAAATGTACCAATGCATCATCAGGGTTTCAAACATGGGGCAAGACACATCATGGGAGTTGACCATTGGTCTGAAAACCAACCATTTCTGTTCCTGGGACAGAGCAACAATGCATCACACCCAAAAGAGAGAAAATAACTTATTGTTTAACTGTGCTACCATTGAAAATAAGGTTGCATGATGATACATAACAGTTCAATATTAAATGTATTAGTAAGTGCATTTACAAATGGTTAATAGCTGGAGGTAAATAGTGGCTCACTATTTGGCAAGCACTGACTAATTTGACCAATTTGTTAATGGTTTATAATACATTTACAAATGATTAAATTACTGTTAATAACGTAATTACAAACCCTTTATAAACCCTTTACAAATGGAACCTTACTGTAACGTGTTACCAGTAGGGTAGATCTCAGAAAGAGATGAATCATTGTCAGTAGGAGTTAAATCAGTGTCAGTAGAAGTTGAGTAGATCTCAGTAAGAGTTGAGTCATTGTCAGTAGGAGTTGAGTCGATCTCAGTAAGAGTTGAGTCATTCTCAGTAGGAGTTGAGTCAGCCTCAGTATGTGTTGCATCAGCCTCAGTAGGAATTTCCACAAAGACTCTCCTAGATCCCTTTCATTCTTTCCTCCTATTCTAGATCCTTTAATTCATCCCTTTCTTGCTTCCTTTCATGCTTTCCTACGTCCCTTTCGTCCTATACTAACTCTTTCCTTCCCTCCTTCTCTTCCCTCCCCTCTTTTGCTTCCCTAGCTGACTTTCTTCCTATCATTTCCCCTTTCCTGGCATCCTTAACCTAAATCCCTTTCCTTATCTCCTTTCATTTTCTAGCTTTTCCTTTCCTAATTTCCTTTCCAAGCTCTTTTCCTCTTAACCTTTCTAAGCTTCCTTTAATTATTCATTTCCCAGTTCCCTTTCCTCCTTTCCTAGCTTCCTATCCTCCTTTCCTAGCTTCCTATCCTCCTTTTCTAGCTCCCTTTCCTAAATACCTTAGGCAAGGAGAGTTCACATGTATGTGGTAGCGATTCAACAGCATCGGTAGATGTCAAACAGTAGTGGGCTTTAAAGCTGCAATCAGCAGTTGAAACAATAACAAAGTGTTTCACCACCTCGGTTTCGGTAAAAAGCTGAGGGATGGGGCTGGAGAAATGTTATCACTTTCAAATTCATAGACAGAGCAATAGATGCAAGGGCTGACCACCTATGATATCAAAATGATAGTTTTAACCATGTTTTGAGGCTATATAGCATTTGTTTACATTTCCTTTCTTTTCAAATAGTGGAGTAAAACAAGTTTATATTTTGGGTTCTGATGGGGTATGACAGTTGAATTTAGCTCATGAGGCATTTATAAATTATTTTCTTCAAGAATCAATAGTTAAGTATTATGGTGACCCTCTCTGTATGACCCATGTTACAATTCCCACCAAGTGGGTTAACCCTATTTGTGTGATGCATAGGGTGTTTGCCTTTAGAATATATTTTATCCAAAGTGACTTACATTAGTGAGTACGTACAGTGCATTCGGAAAGTATTCAGACCCTTTTGATTATTCCACATTTTGTTACGTTACAGCCTTATTCTAAAATGTATTAAATAATATTTTTTTCTCATCTATCTACACACAATACCCCATAATGATAAAGCAAAAATAGGTTTTTATACATTTTTGAAAATGTATAAAAAAAAAAAAAATAATACCTTATTTACATAAGTATTCAGGCACCTTGCTATGAGACTCAAAATTGAGCTCAGGTGCATCCTGAGCCATTGATCATCCTTGAGATGTTTCTACAACTTGATTGGAGTCCACCTGTGGTAAATTCAATTCATATGACATGATTTGGAAAGGCACACACCTGTCTATATAAGGTCCCACAGTTGACAGTGCATGTCAGAGCAAAAACCAAGCCATGAGGTGGAAGGAATTGTCCAAAGAGCTCCGAGACAGGATTGTGTCGAGGCACAGATCTGGAGAAGGGTACCAAAAAATGTCTGCAGCATTGAAGGTCCCCAAGAACACATTGGCTGCAATCGGGGGGAGAAGGGCCTTGGTCAGGGAGGTGACCAAGAACCCAATGATCACTCTGACAGAGCTCCAGAGTTCCTCTGTGGAGATGGGAGAACATTCCAGAAGGACAACCATCTCTGCAGCACTCCACCAATCAGGCCTTTATGGTACAGTGGCCAGACGGAAGCCACTCCTCAGTAAAAGGCATATGACAGCCCGCTTGGAGTTTGACAAAAGGCACCTGAAGGACTCAGACCATAAGAAAAAAGATTCTCTGGTCTGATGAAACCAAGACTGAACTCCATGGACGGAATGCCAAGCGTCACATCTTTGGAGGAAACCTGGCACCATCCCTACGGTGAAGCATGGTGGTGGCAGCATCATGCTGTGGGGATGTTTATCAGAGGCAGGGACTGGGAAAGATGAACATAGGGAAAGATGAACAGAGGGAAAGATGAACAGAGCAAAGTACAGAGAGATCCTTGATGAAAACCTGCTCCAGAGCGCTCAGGAACTCAGAATGGGGCGAAGGGTCACCTTCCAACAGTACAATGTCCCTAAGCACACAGCCAAGACAAAGCAGGAGTGGCTTCGCGACAAGTCTCTGAATGTCCTTGAGTGGCCAAGCCAGAGCCCGGACTTGAACCCGATCGAACATCTCAGGAGAGACCTGAAAATAGCTGTGCAGCGACGCTCCCAATGCTTACTTACAAGCCCTTAACGAACAATGCAGTTCAATAAATATAGTTAAGAAAATATTTATTAAATTAAATAAAGTAAAAAAATTAATAATAAGAAGAAAGTAACACAAGAAAATTACATAACAATAACGAGGCTATATACAGGGGGTATCTGTACCGAGTCAATGTGCAGGGGTACGGGTTAGTCGAGGTAATTTGTAAAGTGACTATGCATAGGTAATAAACAACGAGTAGCAGCAGTGTAAAAACAAAGGGGTCAATGTAAATAGTCCTGGTGGCCATTTTATTAATTGTTCAGCAGTCTTATAGCTTGGGGATAGAAGCTGTTAAGGAGCCTTTTGGTCCTAGACTTGGCGCTCCGGTACCGCTCTATGACTTGGGTGACTGGAGTCTTTGACAATTTTTGGGCCTTCCTCTGACACCGCCTAGTATATAGGTCCTGGATATCAGGAAGCTTGGCCCCAGTGATATACTGGGCCGTAAGCACTACCCTCTGTAACGCCTTACGGTCAGATGCCGAGCAGTTGCCATACCAGGCGGTGAAGCAACCAATCAGATTGCTCTCGATGTTGCAGCTGTAGAACCTTTTGAAGATCTGAGGACCCATGCCAAATCTTTTCAGTCTACTGAGGGGGAAAAGGTGTTGTCGTGCCCTCTTCACAACTGTCTTGGTGTGTTTGGACCATGATAGCTCGGTGGTGATGTGGACACCAACGAACTTGCAACTCTCAACCCGCTCCACTTCAGCCCCGTCAATGTTAATGGGGGCCTGTTCGGGTTTCCTTTTCCTATAGTCTACGATCAGCTCCTTTGTACTGCTCACATTGAGGGAGAGGTTGTTGTCCTGGCACCACACTGCCAGGTCTCTGACCTCCTCCCTATAGGCTGTCTCATCGTTGTCTTGTTAACAAGCTATAGTTTTGGCAAGTCGGTTAGGACATCTACTTTGTGCATGACACAAGTAATTTTTCCAACAATTGTTTACAGACAGATTATTTCACTTATAATTCACTGTATCACAATTCCAGTGGGTCAGAAGTTTACATACACTAAGTTGACTATGCCTTTAAACAGCCTGGAAAATTCCAGAAAATTATATCCTGGCTTTAGAAGCTTCTGATAGACTAATTGACATCATTTGAGTCAATTGGAGGTATACCTATGGATGTATTTCAATGCCTACCTTCAAACTCATTGCCTCTTTGCTTTACATCAAGGGAAAATCAAAAGAAATCAGCCAAGACCTCAGAAAAAAAATTGTAGACCTCCACAAGTCTGGTTCATCCTTGGGAGCAATTTCAAAACTCCTGAAGGTACCACATTCATCTGTACAAACAATAGTACGCAAGTATAAACACCATGGGACCACGCAGCCATCATACCGCATAGGAAGGAGACGCGTTATGTCTCCTAGAGATGAACGTACTTTGGTGTGAAAAGTGCAAATAAATACTAGAACAACAGCAAAGGACCTTGTGAAGATGCTGGAGGAAACAGGTACAAAAGTATCTATATCCACAGTAAAACAAGTCCTATATCGACATAACCTGAAAGGTCGCTCAGGAATGAAGAAGCCACTGCTCCAAAACCGCCATAAAAAAGCCAGACTACGGTTCGCAACTGCACATGGGGACAAAGATCGTACTTTTTGGAGAAATGTCCTCTGGTCTGATTAAACAAAAATAGAACCGTTTGGCCATAATGACCATCGTTATGTTTGGAGGAAAAAGGGGGTCGCTTGCAAGCCGAAGAACACCATCCCAACTGTGAAGCATGGGGGTGGCAGCATCATGCTGTGGGGGTGCTTTGCTGCAGGAGGGACTGGTGGACTTCACAAAATAGATGGCATCATGTGGATATATTGAAGCAACATCTCAAGACATCAGTCAGGAAGTTAAAGCTTGGTCGCAAATGGGTCTTCCAAATGGACAATGACCCCAAGCATGCTTCCAAAGTTGTGGCAAAATGGCTTAAGGACAACAAAGTCAAGGTATTGGAGTGGCCATCACAAAGCCCTGACCTCAATCCTATAGAAAGTTTGTGGACAGAACTGAAAAAGCGTGTGCGAGCAAGGAGGCCTACAAACCTGACTCAGTTACACAAGCTCTGTTAGGAGGAATGGGCCAAAATTCACCAAACTTATTGTGGGAAGCTTGTGGAAGGCAACCCAAAATGTTTGATCCAACTTAAGCAATTTAAAGGCAATGCTACCAAATACCAATTGAGTGTATGTACACTTCTGACCCACTGTGAATGTGATGAAAGAAATAAAAGTGAAATGAATAATTCTCGCTACTATTATTCTGACATTTCACATTCTTAAAATAAAGTGGTGATCCTGAATCCTAAAACAGGGATTTTTTACTAGGATTAAATGTCAGGAATTGTGAAAAACTGAGTTTAAATGTATTTGGCTAAGGTGTATGTAAACTTCTGACTTCAACTGTATATTACAGCTAGAAATCAAAACTGGATGGTCTTCAGAGTTAGATGGGAGGGGTTGAAGATAGATGAAGGCTGGGACTAAAAACAAACAAAGATAACTAATGTCAAATATACTGTTCGTGAAATGTATGTACTGTGGTATGTACAGTGCATTCGGAAAGGATTCAGACCCCTTCACTTTTTCCACATTTTGTTACGTTACAGCCTTATTCTAAAATGTATTAAATTGTTTTTTCCCCCTCATCAATCTACTCACAATACCCCATAATGACGAAGCAATAACACGTTTAAAAAAAAAAATGTATTACAAATAAAAAAACGGAAATATCACATTTACATAAGTATTCAGACCCTTTATTCATTACTTTGTTTACGCACCTTTGGCAGCGATTACAGCCTTGAGTCGTCTTGGGTATGACGCTACAAGCTTGGCACACATGTATTTGGGGAGTTTCTCCCATTAATCTCTGCAGATCCTATCAAGCTCTGTCAGGTTGGATGGGGAGTGTTGCTGCACAGCTATTTTCAGGTCTCTCCAGAGATGTTCGATTGGGTTCAAGTCCTGGCTCTTGCTGGGCCACTCAATGACATTCAGAGACTTGTCCCGAAGCGACTCCTGTGTTGTCTTTGCTGTGTGCTTAGGGTCGTTGTCTGAGGTCCTGAGCGCTCTGGAACAGGTTTTCATCAAGGATCTCTCTGTACTTTGCTCCGTTCATCTTTCCCTCAATCCTGACTAGTCTCACAGTCCCTACTGCTGAGAAACATCCCCACAGCATGATGCTGCCACCCACATGCTTCACCGTAGGGATGGTGCCAGGTTTCCTCCAAACGTGACGCTTGGCATTCAGGCCAAAATAGTTCAATCTTGGTTTCATCAGACCAGAGAATCTTGTTTCTCATGGCCTGAGAGTCTTTAGGTGCCTTTTGGCAAACCCCAAGAGGGCTTTCGTGTACCTTTTATTGAGGAGTGGCTTCCGTCTGGCCACTCTACCATAAAGGCTATATTGGTGGAGTGCTGCAGAGATGGTTGTCCTTCTGGAAGGTTCTCCTATTTCCACAGAGGAACTCTGGAGCTCTATCAGAGTGACCATTGGGTCACCTCCCTGACCAAGACCCTTCTCCCCCGATTGCTCAGTTTGGCCAGGCGGCCAGCTCTAGGAAAAGTCTTGGTGGTTCCAAACTTCTTCCATTTAAGAATGATGGAGGCCACTGTTTTCTTGGGGACCTTCAATGCTGCAGAAATGTGTTTGTACCCTTCCCCAGACCTGTGCCTCGACACAATCCTGTCTCGGAGCTCTACAGACAATTCCTTCCACCTCATGGCTTGGTTTTTGCTCTGACATGCACTGTCAACTGTGCGACCTTATATAGACAGGTGTGTGCCTTTCCAAATCATGTCCAATCAATTGAATATACCACAGGTGGACTCCAATCAAGTTGTAGAAACATCTCAAGGATGATCAATGGAAACAGGATGCACATGATCTCAATTTCGAGTCTCATAGCAAAGGGTCTGAATATTTATGTAAAAAGGTATTTCTGTTTTTTATTTAAATACATTGGTAAAAAAATCTAAAAACCTATTTTCGCTTTGTCATTATGGGGTATTGTGTGTAGATTGATGTGATTTATTATTATTTTTTAATCCATTTTAGAATAGGGCTGTAACGTAAGAAAATGTGGAAAAAGTCACTGAATAAGCTGGAAGTGGAAGCCTAAGTATTGTTGTCCATTAGTTTACTCCAATAAGGGGGAGGGGTGGTAGGGTTAGGGGAAATTAGGTAGGCTTGGCAGAGGTCAATTCTGCAGAACTTTTGGTCCCCAGCTAGGCCTGCGATAAGGTTGTCTGTGTTTTAGCGGATACTGCTCAGCGGACAATACAGGGTTAACTGTGACTTTAAAGTCTCCACATATCCTGATTCCACCATCCTTCCACCATCCTTCTTAAGGAATGGTATGATGGGTGTCGCCCATTCACTCACGCTGACCAGCTCCAGTACTTTGTTCTTGACTAAAGCGTCCAAGTCAGCCTCAACTTTTGGTGTGATAGCATAAGGTATAGGTTGTGCTTTCAGAAACATATAATGCTAAGCTTCGCTATAATGTATTTCATGCTACCCAGCTCTCCATTAAAGACTTCTCCATGTTTCTTTAAGATGACGGGCAGGCCTGTGTCTCCATGTATCATTCTACTCATTGAAGGCCAGTCCGGTGTGATTTTCTCTAGCCACGAATGTCCCAGTAGTGACATTTTATTTATCCTTTTATTACGTATTATTACGTAGAGTGGCAGCTTTTCAGTTTGTCGATTTAACTGAACTGTGACCTCAGTGATGCCTACATCTTATTACCTGGCCTCTCTGGCTGTAGATGGGTGCATAGTAAATTAAATGTATTTGGCCTCATTACACAAAAAAATATAGGCAGGCTCGTTCGATGTGACCCTTTTTACTCAACTGCTGAGCTTCTTTATTAGCTAGTTCCATGGACACACTGACTTCAATAGCCCTTGCCAAGGTCAGATTACTTTCAGTCAAGTCTCTTTTTTGTAGCTTCACTCCATAGCCCACATACTAGACTACCTCTTAAGGATCGCACCCTTTTTTCAATGTTCACCTAAAATGACATACCCAAATCTAACTGACTGTAGCTCAGGACCTGAAGTAAGGATATGCATATTCTTGATACCATTTGAAAGAAAACACTTTTAAGTTTGTGGAAATGTGAAATTAATGTAGGAGAATATAACACATTAGATCTGGTAAATGATAATGCAAACAAAAAAACATTTTTTTATCATCTTTGAAATGCAAGAGAAAGGCCACAATATAATATTGCAGATTAGGCGCAATTTAGATTTTGCAGTGTGTGCAAAGTTTCAGATTGATCCAGTGAAGCATCGCAATACTGGACTATTTTGTATCAAGTCTGCCCAAATGTGCCGAATTGGTCAATTGATATATTTTCAAGTACATAACTATAGAGAACAATGATATGGTAATACAAAATGTAAGTTTACACACTCCCAGGAATGTCATACATGATGGATCATTAGCTTATACACTAAGTTTCACACATCTAGATGGCCGGGCGGGGTGGGTGTGGAGCCAGAGACAGCAGGGGTTCAAACTGTAGAACTCAGTTCCTACATCTGAATATAAAAATGGATTTTATCAAACAAAATTATGCTACATTCTATCTCTGGGACCCTTAGGATGACAAATCAGAGCAAGATTACTGAATGTAAGTACAGTATTTACTTTCAGAGGTGAATGTGTCAAACCAGTTGCCGTGATAAGATTTTTGTTGTTGTGCACTCTCCTCAAACAATAGCATGGTATTCTTTCACTGTAATAGCTACTGTAATTTGGACAGTGCAGTTAGATTAACAAGAATTTAAGCTTTCTACCCATATAAGACATGTCTATATCCTGGAAAGTTCCATGATCTCGCCATCACGGTTGACAACTCTGTTGTGTCCTCCTCCCAGAGTGCAAAGAGCCTTGGCGTGACCCTGGACAACACCCTGTCGTTCTCCGCTAACATCAAGAGAGTGACCCGATCCTGTAGGTTCATGCTCTACAACATTTGGAGAGTACGACCCTGCCTTACACAGGAAGCTGCACAGGTCCTAATCCAGGCACTTGTCATCTCCCGTCTGGATTACTGCAACTCGCTGTTGGCTGGGCTCCCTGCCTGTGCCATTAAACCCCTACAACTCATCCAGAATGCCGCAGCCCGTCTGGTGTTCAACCTTCCCAAGTTCTCTCACGTACCCCGCTCCTCTGCACACTCCACTGGCTTCCAGTTGAAGCTCCGATCTGCTACAAGACCATGGTGCTTGCCTACGGAGCTGTGAGGGGAACGGCACCTCCGTACCTTCAGGCTCTGATCAGTCCCTACACCCAAACGAGGACATTGCGTTCATCCACCTCTGGCCTGCTGGCCCCCCTACCTCTGCGGAAGCACAGTTCCCGCTCAGCCCAGTCAAAACTGTTCACTGCTCTGGCACCCCAATGGTGGAAGAAGCTCCCTCACGACGCCAGGACAGCGGAGTCACTCACCACCTTCCGGAGACACTTGAAACAGCACCTCTTAAAGGAATACCTGGGATAGGTTAAAGTAATCCTTCTACCCCCCCTTACCCCACCCCCCAAATTTTTTTTTTCGTAAAGTGGTTATCCCACTGGCTATAAGGTGAATGCACCAATTTGTAAGTCGCTCTGGATAAGAGCATCTGCTAAATGATGTAAATGTAAATGTAATTCTGTATGTGAGCTCCACTGCTCAAGACTTTCATCAAACTGTCCAATGTTTGAAAAATTCCAACCATTTTAAGTTTCTCAATAAGCTCCTGATTCTCACTCTCAATATTGTTCTCAACCACGGCAACGTTATGTTCTGCGACTATAATATTTTCCTCAATCATGTGATCTTCATTCACTTCACTCACTGGCGTTTCATCTTCAAGTTTTTAATTCCAAAGTTCGTCTTCACAGTTGAATAAATGTCGTTTCCTTTCCTCTTCCTTTACTCCTCCCTTTTTTATCACATTGTTTTCCCGCTCCAAAGTCTGTCTCAAATCCTTTTCTGCAGTCCATGACGATGCTAACTCTCCATCTTAGCTAGCTCGACTATGCACTTGCCTCTGCTAGCAATACACTGTGCTAACATTAGCCTAGACTGTACCAAGGAAAATAACAGTTTTAAACTTAAAAATAAAATCTACTTCTTCCAGACAGAATAGTTACCGAAGGTTCAGTCTTACTCGTCGCCAATCTTTTGTTATGTCTCTTAGGTTTCATAACCACGTCTTATAACAATTCAATAATGATGAGACGGGAGACAGCAATCAGTTCAACCATTCATCTAGAACATGCTCATCTCAACGCATAGAACCCCCACAACCCCAATACACCACACTAGTGTTTGCCTGTGATAAGCCTTGGGGCTAGATTGCCTGAGTGGGTGTCAACTGTCCTCAAGGCCGCTGACATTTACTCATCAACGGATATCAAACACATAGCCCTGTCGTAGGTCATTTCTCAAACGCCATCTTTCATTCTTTCTTTCTTTCTTTCTTTCTTTCTTTCTTTCTTTCTTTCTTTCTTTCTTTCTTTCTTTCTTTCTTTCTTTCTTTCTTTCTTTCTTTCTTTCTTTCTTTCTTTCTTCTTTCCATCCCTCTCATGTTCTCTTTCTTTCTCTCTCCCTGTCTCTTTCTCCTGCTCCCTTTATCCCTCTCCTTCCCTCTTTCTCCATCCCTCCCTGTCTCTCTCTCTCTTTCCCTCTATCTCTTTCTGTCTCTCTGTTTCCGCTAACCAACCTGCCATCTGTACAAAACTTTGATGATGGGTTGAGAGAGAAAAGGCTTTGTCAAAGAACAGGGCCAGAGTTTTGGGCTGTTGTTTTGGATTTGTGTTGTCAGAAATGACATTTAAACCCTTTCTGGGACAAACACAATTTGGCTGTCAAACTGCTGAGCTGAAATGGTAGAAGGAAAAAAAGGAGGAGGATGGGGGCGGTGGGTAGTATTGTACAGGGATAAGGGATGAAGACACAGAGGAGAGGGGGAATATATTTGAACTGAGAGTGAGGGAGTAATGGAGAGAGAGGGAAAGAGGGAGGAGGGTGAGGGGTGGGGGGTTTAAATGCCGGTTGATTGAACATATTCCACTTGTGTGGACAGCAGGAGAATATTGCTCATATTTTTTCAGCTCTCCCTCCCTCTCTCTCTCTCCCTGTCTCTACCCCCCCCCCCCCCATCTCCCTCTCTCCCCGCTCCCTCTCTCTCCCCTGCCTCTCTCTCTGTCTCTCTGGTAGTGATCACTCCCCTCTACAAGACCTGTAATTGATTCTGCTGTAATTGGTCAATGACAGGAGATGCTTTGGCAGAAGTGCAGCATAAACACGCCTCAGACACAATTTGCGGGATCAATGGGAGGTAGATAGGAAAGGAGGGAGGGAGAGAGGGATGGAGACAGGAGAGGGAGGGGGTGTTCTCTGGTCAGCTTGGAAGAGGTAGCGAGAGAGAGGGATGGAGAGAAAGAGAGGTTTCTAAGCACCGCCACTGTGTCTGATTGAGGCGCGGAGGCCGAGAAAGCTCCGCGGATCAAAGACTTTTCAAATAGCTTTTTTTCCTGAACCCTCTCTCTTTATCGTTCTCTAAGTTTTTTTCACGAGTTGCAGCCTTATCTGCTCAGCTGGAGAGTTTTGAAACAATAGGAGAGAAATAAGGCCAGTGCAAGGCTAACGACCCACTCTGGAGCAGAAAGAGTCCATTTGTACTTTGTGATGGTTGTTATTTTGTGGCAGCTGACATTTTCTAAGTGCGCAATGGCTCAGGGATATTGGCGATAAATGGTTAATTAGTGCCCCTATAGATGTGTGTGTCGGGGGGTCTATGTGTTCGTATGTGTACTGAGTTTCTCGGTGTGGCAGTGTTCTAAACCTCTTCTGTATGCATGTGTTCATGCCTGTGTGTATGCCTGTGTGTGTGTTTGTGTGTGTGTCCACAGGGCTATGAGGTGCGCAAGATAAGAGCCATTGATCAGGATCTGGGGAGACCGAGGGGCATTGGCTACACCATCATCTCAGGTCTGTCACACTCAATCAATCAGTTAATCAATCCCCATCACACACACACACACACACAAAATCAATCACTGTGATGATGCTAATCTTACAGAATAATACACAAGACTGATCCAAACACATATCAATCAATGCTTTCATATAATAATACAATAGAATAATATAATAGGCTGTAAACTATCAATCTCTGTTCAGTGCAACTGTGCAGAACATTAAATATATAAATATAAATAAGTATAAATATAAATATGACAGTAATCAATCAAGATCATACTGTACATCAGGGAGTTTGGCTACCATGTCACCTCCACCTGGGTTGTGTTCAGTTGGACACTGTAAAAAAATGACAATTTCTTTTTTGACAAATGTTTATACCTCCCTGTTTAACTCTGTTTCAAACCCCACAACTAAGTTGTGTTACAATACCTCACTACAGTTAGACAGACAGAGACATAATGTCCTGTAAACCAACATACAGGAGTTGGGGCCGTGAGGGTGTTTGTGTGTGTGCATGCGTGTGTGTGTGCGTGCGTGTTGGGGACGTCCTCTGTGATGTCTCTTTGTATCCCACAAAATACAGACACTTCAACAGAACTTTCTTCAACTCCCTTCCATATACTGTACAGTATGTACTGCAGCTGAATATGAAAGGGCGTAAGGAAAGGATAAGGATAATTTCCACCAGTCTGTATTGTGCTGATATGCTAACAGACCTACTTTATGTTTTGTTGTTGTATGACTTAAACAGAGTCGAGTGGGGTTGGGTGGCTGGGTCTGGTTCTTTAACCTCTTAGACCACAATGGAAGGAGAAGAAGAGCGAGGGAGAGAGAGGCGTGGAGGTGGCAGGGCCGTGCACAGACCTTTGGGGGGGCATGTGCAAAAAAAATAAGCACCCCAACATTTTTGGCTCTGCACACAGACTCGTTGTGCAATTGTTAGGCCTACTAGAACAGGAGAAAGCAGCACAATCTGATGAGTAAACTATTTTGCTAAACTATTTTGCATGCACAATTGCTGTGCAAATGTAGCCCATCATTACAGCCATAAATGATTATGCTTTTACAAAACGCAAGATAGGTTGCAGAAATAAACTGCATTTTACACATGCCTTTAGAGCTGAAAGTAATTCATGTTAGCAGCCAATATCAACTAGGGATATATTATGTCACTCTTCTGGAGTCCAGAGCAAGCAAAATCATACGGCCTACTTGTAGCGGAGGTTGCAGGATCAGATGGAAAGCATGTTCTTTCTGCGCCACGCCATCACTTTGGAGGGCAGCCTGCCTGCAGAGCCGGGTAGCCCTGTTCTTGCTCACAAATATTGTAATAGATTTGCCAGAATATGTTACACCTTCATATCATAATATTGAAGGCAGTGGTATGTTACAGCTGCGTATCTTTAGACATATAGCCAATAGCCACTCAAACTAGGCCTATCTAAAATATGAAAATTATCAATAAAATTGGCAGGTAGCCTATTGTTCTGGTAAAGATGAGTCAGCAGTAGATTGCTAAACTCTATTTTATATGGATAATATACATGTAGGCCTACTCTGTTTTTGCCAGGCAAATGTATAGGAAATGAAACAAGTTAATTTTGGTCACTAATCTGGATATGTGTGCCCGCCTTTGTGTGCCAATGCTGATGTCTGGTCATTGTTCAACAATCAAGACACACAACTTTTTGGTTATGAAGCATAGATGAGAATGTAAGGATGTGGTGTGACAAAGCTCTTAAAAGAAAGGGAGAGATGTGTATTTATCCTGCTGTTTTTACCAAACAAATGTCAATGATTTGGGCTCAGAACAGCAACGACAAAACATTTAGACAAAAAATTATACCACCACCGAAAAGGGCTTTTTGGAGACTGGAAGGGCAAAGTGGCATGTGCTCTGCACAGGTAGAGCTATCTGTGCATGTGCCTGGGAGGTGGGCATGAAGAAGAACGAGAAAAGAGAGGACTGTATAATGCAGAGAAAGCACGTACAAAAGTAAGAGCAGATCAGCAGGACACATACTACAACGAGCTTCAACTAATGAGAAAAAACAGAGGATACATATCATACAGTAAATTAATAGAAATAAAGAGAGGAATAGATAGAAAATCATGCAGAGAATTGAGCTCACTTGTATGCAAACCACATAGCCAGCCTAGCACAGCAGCTACCCCATGCGCCCTGGTATGCCCTGGCTAAACTCTGTGTACCACCTAAGAGGGTTGCCAGCCATGATGTCAGCACATGGCATGGGTGCCCAATGCTGCGCATGGCAGTGCCAGCTGGTTAGTAATGTGGCCTGGCACAGGTTGAGGTAGGGTAGCATGCTGGGTGGAAGAGTGGCACAGGGTGGCAGGGTGGTACACTTCTTAGCGATAGAGATGCCCATCTGCAGAGTCACTGGCTGACCTTAACCAGTCACTCTGACCATACAATGTAAGAATTTTCTGTAATTTCAACAGTAAAACACAGTAGAATGCACAGTAAAATACCATAAATCTGTTTTACAACATTAATGCTGTAGATTATGGGTAAAATGCTGAAAAATAGCCTACTGTTATTAACTGTAATTGGAAGCCTTCTGTAACAACATACTATATTTCTTTACATTAATAGCTTTTGCCTACTGTAGATTCAAATGATCCGTTTCAGGCTCTAACATCATGCTGTCTGGTGAGACACATGAAGCTGAGACTATTTTAGTAAATATCTTCTTGAAGCTGCTGTGAAGTGGAAGAATATTTCCAGCAGCTGCTGGGTAGGTACCTTGACTTGTTTATAAGTATCTTTATTGCTAGCCAATGTTGAATTACTGCATGTTTTCTTAACTAACGTAGCTAGCTGGCTAACGTTTGCTAGCTAGCTTAGTTAGCTAGCTCAAGTTGACACAAGCCATTTCGGCCTGCTCTAAATTTCTCGTAAATATCTTGCTGAGCAACCTTGAAAAAAATCACCCAGATAATAATTGTTGTGATGATAGGCTTAACTGTATCACAGCCTCTTAGTGCCATAGATAATAAATTGAGTGCAGATTTGTGACTGTTATGTTTTCACCATTACTACAGAGAAAATGGCTTGCTTCTAGCAGTTAAAAATATATACCAATATTATCAGCGCAACGGATTGACGGGCCGCATTTTAAACATAAATCACATTGTAGGCCGGTAAATTACTTGCGAGCCTCAACCACTAAAGCCAATGCAAATTACCAGTGCACCAGTGTTGTATCGATGTGCCTGCTTACCTAAAGTGCTTCCACTGGGCAGCTCTATCACAGTGTCACTGGCGGTAGTAACGTGGACAATTTTTTTCCCTCCCAGGATTATATTTCCAGTACGATAGCCTACACAAGAAACAGCTACGGGTATGTTCATAAATTCACTCTGGAGTGCCAGAGTGCGCTCAGAGTGCGCACTGGGCGTTCGTAAATTCAGAGCATTATCAGATTGTCTGTTTGTAAATTCAGAGCGCAGAAAGAAATTAAAATGTTGTGAGTCTGGTAAAATAATATGTGGTATTGTGTAGGCTATAGCAATGTTTTATTAGTTAGCAAGGGTTTGAAGTAGGTGTATCTAGCTGTCTTATTTGTATTTGTTCAATGCCTCAATTGATTTCATAAACTATATTGGATATATGGCTGTACAGATTCCTGGTTCGAATCAACCCAAGATGATGAACCCTGAAGATTGGACAAAATGCATGACAAGGTGGCCCAGAGGAAGCCAGCTGTTCTCAACCCCTACATTGCCCCATTCTTCCAAGAGCTCACAGAGTTTGAATGAAGACCTCTAGTGAGGTAGGTACACACACACGACCCCAGCTTAATATGTCCCTTGTCACCTATATTTACCATCTCCCTCTCTCTCTTTGTCTCTCACTCTCTCTCCCCACACCCCACACACACAGGCACACAATATAGTTTTTAAATGAGTGTTGTAATGATGCTCTTATTTGGTTACATATGTGTTAATTAACGGTTGTTACTTCTATTGTCAATTATTTTGTTAATTTGTTGTTAATGTTGTTACCAATTTGAATAAATGTATTTTATGTACAAATGTATTGTTTTTCTTACGTTTAGATTTCAGGGAGAATTTAATGAACTTTACAGCAGGGATGCTGTCATATGTTTTACAGTATTAAAAAGTCATTAATTAGATAGTGTGTCTAGTCCCTGTGGTAGAGGGAAATCATAAATTATAGCGCTGTACTAAGCCCTTATGGAGCTGGAGCCTGTCGGCTCTCTCTAGTCACTATCAGTTTAATAGATCATGGATAGTGAAGGATGATGACGCAACGCCCGGATAATAAGGTAGGAGGATGATGCAATTTGGTGTGTGTGTATGTTTGTGTGTGTGTGTTTCCACATGTTTGTGTGCACATGAGTGTGTGTGTACACCTGTGTGCTTGTGTAAGACGCCTACTTCTCATATCCTCGAGTGTCCTCAGAGGGAGTGACTTAGTCCTGTGGGACTCGTCTCATTAGTTCAGTAATTAAGATAAACAAGGTTTTAATTGCAGAGATGATTTATGCCAATGATCTGGATCAGGACATTCTCTCTCTCTCTCTCTCTGGGATAATCTGGGATTTGATGCGTACAGTAGATAGTGACGCTCTGTGAGCTCTGGATCTGTTGTTGATGG